CAAAATTGAAAAGGATGCTGTATGCATGGCCAGCCTGCTCAGTGCTTTGGTTTCTTATCTCTTCATTCTTGCAGCCATCAATATTCAGACCTACCATGGAAGGTTGAAGTAAATTGGTAATGCATCAAGCAGGCACAGCACAGTCTTTAAGAATCATACCCACTCCCACATGTAAGGAGCTCTATGAAAGTTTCAGAACACTTAGAATAATGTAATCTGAGTGGGGTTTTTTTTTTGTTTTTTTAAAGATTAACTTTATTTCTGAATTCAAGAAATTGCTTTATAAATCAGAAAAAGAATAAGGTAAAAAAAGTTAAAGGTAATCGATAAGCCAATCCCCCTCCAAAGACCTCAAACATCTATATCAGATACTAAGCAATTAATAGAGTGTACGGCAAAACACAGAGAATACACTATGTCATGAAGCAAGATGGTCATATACAGAGAGCATGGGGTATCGAAAGGAAGGTGGAAAGAAAATCTGAGTGAGTTTTAGTACATTTCATTGATATAGCAGGTAAAGAATAACAATACTTTAAATAAGTTGAGTCAAACTTCCTATTCTCCCCTCTCCTGTTTTCCTGTAGATTTGCAAGTTGATAGCTTTCCCATTGGAGCATATGGAGAAAAGACACTGTGGTCATATCGGCAGTACACCACGTTCCACCTCTGTGAAGAGGAGTGATGTACTGCTGAAGCTAGGAGAGAGGGTTGCTGGCTCGTCTGAGGTCATTCGTTGTAATAGTGGTCAGTTTATGCAAAACTGTTGGGGTACTTGAGGGCACAGCTTGAAAAACACTGTTAGGCTCTGTACCTATGGGTATTGCTTATGCCTTTCATGCAGTCCCTTACACCAAAGACAAAAAATAATGTACCGAGTCAAATGGATAAGTAAATATAGGTGCACATTACTGTATCAGAATGAACATAGACTGCAGCATCTTCTGACATTTGATACTGTATTTCCATTTACTCCAGTTGCTCTTATTTGTTAATAGTCTCCCTCCCCTCATGGGAGAGGCACACTTGATGCCTGTGTTAGTCCTGTCCCATCATTGTCTGACATTACTTTCCATAATTTAGCTCTTCTGGCTGAATGTGTAACCCTTTGGCCTCCATAGTTCTTTTTTGCACATGGGGATCGTTTGAGACTCGATGGATGCCATAACCTTGGGCAGACCACTGGGTGCCTGCAAATACATGTTTTCTTAGGCCCTCCAAACACGGTGTACACTTCTTTACCTCCCAATGTTCCAGTACATCTGTGCTGGCCACTGAGATGCTGTTTTACATTGTGGGATGCTATAGAAGAGGGTGGGAACATAGAATAGTGGCCTTTGAGGTACAGTATTTTCCTAGCACATACAAATGAAAGCTGTGCTTCTCACCCAGAGTTATTCTGTATTTTAATTGGTTGTAATTGACAATTAAAGCTACTGTATATATTTAACATATATCACAAATTGAAAACATTATAGTTGTAGAGTTGCCTAAGGAACCAGAGTTTAAATGTAGCAGGAAAAAGTATTTTGCCCCCAAAATACTGTCCTTTCCCTCTTGCATAGGCACTGTATTCGCTTTTTCTAATGTTTTCTCAGAGCTGGTTTCCCTTTCTACACATCAGTGGCACTTGCTGGATTATTACAGTCACACATTGGAGAACACAGCCACACTCATATGGGCCTGCACAGATTGCTTGACATGGATTCCATCATTTCCTCACCTTCTTGGTCATGTCTCCTCACAGCTGCCGCTGCTGCCTTTTGAAGTCTAAAGAGCTGGCAGATGTAAATTAAACCATTTAGCTATGCTTGTAATATGTTCGAATGGAATTCTGTTTTTTGTTTAAACTGTGATCTGTTTTCACTTTTAAGCAAATCTTTATTAGCCTTTTTTGCATGAATTTATTGGCCAGTCTTTGACGCACTCTAGGGGATGCAGCACGATCTTTCTAGTACATACAGCCTGCTCCTTAAGAGATGGGAGCACAGCCCCATTCAGCAGTACTGTTCTCTGAGCCATTGCTATTAACACGAGACTGGCAGTTCTGCCAGATAATTGCCTTCTGTTATGACAGCAAAATAGGACTGAATCAGACATTATTAACAGCAAAAGTGACTGACTGGAACTCTTGAGAGTCGGCTCCCCGTTTGGAGCCTAATTAATTTTGGAGCTAGGCTGAAGGATGCTGAGAGCTGTTCTGTGACAGCGCTGTCAAGAATGTGGAAAGTTTCTTGGACTTCACTTGTTTATAAAAACATTGAGAAATGCCCACACAGCCAACAGGAAATGACTGGTCTGGGTGTGGATGAAAGGATTCATCTCTTGAGGGCCAGCCCTGCGCACCAAGACCAGCACAGGATGTGTTGATTGTAGTGCACTTAAGCTGCGGTTTTCCAACAACCGTCCTGTTTTAGCTTGGTTATTACCTTCCACTCAGGACTTCACAAACCCCTAGATTTTAAAAGGGAATAATGTGTTCTATTCTGTGCTTTGTGTACTTAGTCGGCACCCTGTGTAAATTTTAATTTTGTGTAAATTTGAAAAGGGAAATCTCTCCCTTTTAAGCATTGCTACTGAGGTTGACTTTGCATTTATAAATATTACTTTTTTAAGGCCGTCACCAGTGTGATGCAGTGTTGCTGTTGTAATTCAGTGATGCCAGTGTCAGTGAATTCATGTTGCCAGATTGATGCCATGATAAATTTGGGTACCAGTGTCAAAGAGGTGCCTGCTTCCTTCTTTCCTTCCTTCCTTTGTTTTGCCAAAAAAAGACTCTTTTAAAGGAGAACTACGAGATGAGTGATTTCCACTCGCCTCATAGTTCTAGCCGACCTGTGACAATGAGACTGTCACAGGTCTGCTCAGTAGATCGGGAGGTGAGCGAACACATACCAGGTTCGCTCACCTCTCGATCCTGTCACGGCTCTCTGCCGTGACAGGGGGAGGGGCTGGATTCCCCTCTCCCCGCTCCGATCTGCCAGCGCTGACTGGCGGAACGGACGGGGAAGGGGGCGGGTACAGCTGGCTCTGCCTCTAGAAGTGTCCTCCCATTACCCTAAGTAGAACTATGGGGAAAAACACTGACCCCATAGTTCTCCTTTTAATGAGGGGGCTGAATTGCAGACTTTAGGCTTCCTCCCATCAGGTTACAGGTCGCACGTAGCTTAGGTCAGCTAAGTATGGTATAATATACAGTAATCTGACCCTTTAACCAGCATGAAAATTACCCAGAAAGATTAAGTATTTGAAAATGCTTACTTGCAGTTTCTTTTATTTGTTTTAAAAAATCTTTTTTTTTTTTTAAATTTACTCGTAATGTGCCTAGTTGATTGCCTAGTGCAGCCTCCCTCCTTGCACGTCATAGCCCTTTCCTCTCCTGGGACAGTCTAATTACTCTCTGTGCTGGTCCAGCTTCTCTGCCTCCTCCCATTATCTCCCCTACATAAGCCTTTCTGTGTAGCAGTCGGCAGAGGAGCAAAGGGGGATACTCACTGTGTGACTTAAATGACAGATCTGAGTCAACATGGCAGAATCCAGCAGCAGTCTTAGGGCTTTAGATGTCTACACGGGGGGGTGGGGTTTTTTACTGGTAAATAACATGCCTAAAAAACATTGACTGCACATATGTTATCTTAAGATTTTAGTTGACATGAATGGTCAGAAGACAGGGTCCCTTTACCACCCTAGTAGCGTTGATTCTTGGAGGTCTTTGGTATTTTGCCATTTTCATCCAGTTTCCAGCCTGTAAAAAGTAACCAAGCATTTTCATATTTCCATTTATCTGCCAGTGTGGCTGCAGATTGGCTGCCTTGGGCCTAGTTGAGCATGAGGTGGAGAGGTTGCGTTATTAGAAACCCATCGTTAGTAGTGCGTTCATATTGGAATGCACAGAAAATGGCACTTGAATGTTAGGTGGGCAGACTGCTATCAGGTTAGCAAGTAGCATTGTTGCTTCTGAATGAGCCAATACTGCAGTCATCATCAGACTTTGACAGAATCAGCCTTTGCTGTTTCATTTAAGAATTAGTCAAAATTATTCTGCGAGGTTCCTATTGACATTTACCTTATTTGCGACCCTAAGGTCTAGGAAAGGAATGCAGGAGAGGTGCAGAGTGAGCCTTTCTGTGTCGCCCGTGCAGCCCATTAGTAAAAACACCAACACCTTATTTACACTTTTATAAACATTGTAAGCTGTGAGACAATGCATCAAAAGTGGTTGCAAAGACTTTAGAAAATGGCAGATTCCAAAACAGGTGCACTTGACAAGTCACTGCAAGACAATGACCAGCTTTTCTGCCATATGAGGTGTTGTTGTCTATGGAGATCAGTGATCAATACCAATGGACCCATATCTCCGACCGATACCTGCAGCCTGCTCATTTAAACATACTACGGAGTTGCAGATTGTACAGCAGATCTGCAGGTCCTACCCAGCCCACTTACCCACATCCCTGTCATATGTATAGGAAAATCTTATGAGCAAAATTTGTAACCTGTTTTTTTTTCCCAGTGCATAATTCAGGGCAGTGGGTAAGGATTTTTATAACCCGCAGGTTTGCCATTTATTTAAATGAGCTGCTGCAGTTCTCTGTCTGACAGGAATCGTAATCAGATTAGTCAAACGTGGTGTAGTGGCTTGGATCCAGCTGTTCTAACCCTGTGATCTACTAAATTACATTGTATGCTTTACTGTCGCTACTTTGACAATCCTGACGGTTGGCTGATTTGACTAAATTGCTCTTCCAGATTAAGATCTGATGCCTGTTTGACTGGTATACTGAACATAATATTTTAGTAGTAAAAATACGCAATGGTTTGGTTTTCAGCACCATTGGAAGTAAAACACCTTTAAGAGAGAAATGTTCTGTGAAACCTTTTAGACTTTTTTTTTCTTTTTATCTGGCAAGGATTCAGCTTTAATGCATTATGTTTAAATGCCTATTAAAGATATTTTAATTTTAGATATACATTTTTTTTCCTTTTTTTTTATTTTCTAGGTAATGGGTTTGTAAACCCGAGGGCTTCTCCCAGCCTGCTTGGCCCAGCAGGTGGAAATGCACTGGGAAAAGTGATGCCAACCAAATCCCCTCCTCCTCCCGGGGGCAATCATGGAATGAACAGCCGAAAGCCAGACTTGCGTGTGGTCATACCTCCCTCAAGTAAAGGAATGATGCCTCCTTTGGTGAGTGGGAATGCCCTCCAAAACTGAAATGTTAATCTAACGATAATTGAGTCACTGCTGACCTTGTAAATTGGGCTACTTAATTCTTTGTAAACAGCAATGCTAGGAAGGTGGGTTGATGGCGACGTCTGCAGAGG